CTTTACAATATTAACGTTTTATGAAATCGTTAACTGATAAGAAATCGTTTTATTCTTAGCATTTTGAAAACAGAAGAGTTAAATGCAATTTTAGGTTAAAATCCGCTCCGTTAACGTTGTAAAAATTTACGGTTTTTGCCGTTCATTAACGGACACCTCCTAAACACATATTTATCACTTCTTCTAAACACATGTTTATCACTTCTCACTTCACCCAATTTTTTATCAATCAATCTTCAGGTTGCTGAAGTAGTGAACAAAATGATTTTCATTGTTTCCCTTAAATACAAAAAAATTCAGCCTCCTCTTGGACAAATTATTGTTAATGTAAAAGATCCTAATAAAAAGTCGTCTTTTGTCGATCCTTCTTTGTCGTCTTACCTAGAAATATTTTTTCCAAAGTAACGTCGTCTTCAGGCAGACAGATTTTTTCATAAAAATAATAAAACATTTCATATTATCTTATCATATAATATTTTTAAACACATTTTTTTATTATTAACTAAAAAAATTAGTGAAACTTAACAATTTTAGTTCCCATCCAGGTAAGAAAATGTGCAAGATATTTACACCAACCACGCACCCCTGACCCTTCAGTAAAAGTAAATTCAACCTAAAGTCTGACCACATCAACCTTGTTGCACCGGCTAGTCCTATTGAGTGTCTGCTTTATATTCCCAATGTCCGGGCGATACAGTACAAACTTGGACCGGAGAGGTTGACCCGGCTCGGAAATTCAAATGTACTATAACGGCTTCCCGTGCAACGCACTCTAAAATGTACACTATCCATAGCGGTGTAATAAACTGTTTACATGCTTCAGTCAAGTTCACCTTGTAGAACGACATCTCTGATTTAAAATCCTATTATTTGTTTAAAACTCTGACCCTTGAACAATAATTTTCTATTAAAATATGAATAAGTGGTTAATAAATGGAAAAATTTACATTGCCAATCTATTTCAGAACAATTACCCCCACACCCTTCCTTCATATGTCTGTGAACTAAAAGAAAAGAAAGCTGAATGTTGTAGCTTAAGATGTGGACTGTAAGTATATCTATCAGTTTAGAGGGAAAGTAGAGAATTTCAACCTCATTATTTTGCTCTAGTCAAATCTTGATTTAGTTACAGGGTGAGATTTAAGAGACGACTTTACGGATTTATTTACATTTTATTACAAGCTGGTTATAGCTTTCTGAAAATGGTTTATAATTACATTTTAATATGCTTATTTTAAAGAGTTTTAGATCGGCATTAACCTTAACAAGGCTGGAGGAGAGGAAACTCTGGCGTCCCCCACCCAACCTACATTTTTATTTTCTAATATTTTTTTCATGCACTTTATGTTATTTTAGCTTCCAAGATTTAAAACTTACATTTTTTGAAAGCCCCTGAATAATGGACAAAAAATGTGTGAATTCTTATTCCGTCAATTCGTTCCTAAAGTTTTAATCCTGTCACGATAGCGCTAAATTTTTTTTTAAAATGGCCCATAATTTTTTAAAATTATTTAAGCTAATTTTTTATTGAGAGCCCTTGAAAAATTCATGTACTATTTTCTTGTACATGTTAATACTTTTTGAACATTGTGTAACCTCCCAAATTAGAGGTATAATTTCGTTTAATGAAAAGTTGAACACTAGGGACATCTATCGTATCATACTCCCATTTCTCAACTCGAAAAATTAGAACAAAAATAACTCAATCGGTATAGGGTTAAGTAAACTGTAATAATAAACTGTTAATGTTCATTAAACGTTGTTAGGTAGTTTAATCATAATCTTAAAACTTCAGTTATTTATAAATTTTCAGAAAATTTCACATAATAAGTAAAATGTGATGGAAAGAAGCCAATGCATATTGTAAACATTACAATTACAAGATGGCGCTAGCAGCCTACTATCCTCATTTAGCGCTCGTGGCTCAGATATTGATCCTCTTAAAAGTAGAACATCTTCATATTCAGGAATACGACATTCACTATTTTCATTCTTTGTAATAATGGTGGCATTAACAGGGTTACCCACAAAGGATGAAATTTTAATGACGACCTAAGAATTTTTTTTGTTTAACGATAATTAAAAATAATTTGAATTTCTGTTTAAAAATAAGTCTTTTAATGGTATATTAAAAGGTTTGGCTCAAGCAAAATCAATATTACTGCTGCAAATAAAAACGAATGTAACAATTAGAGTAACCATGTACATTTATGTTTCTTGCATTTTGGGTTACACTCGTTTAGGTTCCAACATTTCAATACTGTAATCCGTTTCATTTTACTAAACTTAACGCAGCACTTTTTTCCAGAGAAAAGAAAATAAAAACGAACCAACAAATTATCGTTATATCATACGGTAGAAGAAAAAAGAGTTTTTAAACTTAACATTTTTACAATTTAACCCAAAACTTTGGAGGAATCAAAGGAATTTATAAAATGTCGTCTTGAATTCTTTTTAATGATATTTATACTCTACCTTAATATCAGTAGTTTAAAATAATTAAATATAGCCAAGAAATATGCATGATCAGTTTTAGAGAGCTCCATGTAATTATACACTTAAAAAACTAAATATCTGCAGCATTCAATTATCTGTAAGTTTAGAAAACGACATTTAATAAATTCTTTCGGTCCTCCTAGGTTCTGGGTTAAACTGTATAAAAATAATTTTACATTTTATATTCTGCAAATAGTCTAATCTATGCCTGAACCGATGGTTAGATAGTATATATCATTAGCCTGCAATAAAAGCAGGGCTTATTTCTCCTCATAGACCTTATTTTTGTTATACCAGACTTAATCTATATTTATCGACGTTTTTATACCTTTTTGAAATACATTTGACAAAAGAAACATCTTTTACAAGTATTTCAAAGTAATTTTTTGTAATTTTTGGAGTAATTGCTATTTTTTGAAATTACACTCCAATGGCTTTCCAACATGTAGTTTATAGATTGCGGACCCGTTATTTTGTTAAACCGAACCGAACCGACAACATTAAAGAAATCGGATTTGTTTTTGATGTTTCGAAGGAAATATCTTTACCAGTAGCTCAAAAATCAACTTTAAATCTGTTCACACTTCACAATTGCTATGTTTATCTTAAGTCTATTATTTGTCTTCATAATAACCCACTGCACAGTCTAAATTTATTAAAAATATAGATATCTTAAAAATAATTATATTTTTCCCTTTAAAATCTATAAGATCTTGGTGCTTCATGGCTAAAATATATTCTTGAGGAAAACTTTATTAAATTGGAAAACTTCTTTTCCAATACTTCTGATTTCTTCATTTTCTTACTTTCAAACTTCCATTTTGAGATTGTTTCAGAGTTAGAAATGTTTTTAAATCAATTTTGTCACTGAAAAATAGTATTTCTTGGTTTGCCATGTTTGCTGTTATTTTTTGTTGTTGCTTCATCGGGGTCAAACAGAAAATCTTGTTCATCAGGACCTTTCGTGCAGTTTCATTATTAGAATTGATAAACAATACAATGGGCCCCATTAAAACTTTATCTAGAATACACTGTCATTTTTTACATTCTTGCCATTTTCTTACTTATCATTGGTGTAGAAACCCGCAAATCAACTTCTAAAAAAGCACTGTTATAATGTCACTTTTACACGGAGTATAGTAGCCACTTAAAATGTTTTTGACAGTTCATTTTTGAGTTAACCCTATTTTTTTTTTTACTTTTTTGCGACAACTCAAAAAAGCATTTTAGCTAGAAAGCTCAAATTTTCTGACTTTTCGAACTAACCCATGCACCACTTTAGGCGAAAAGCCGGGCTTTAATACAAAATGCCTGAGTCCTCAGGCCTACTGCCTAAAAGTGCCTTATTTACCTATACCAGACTAAATCTATACTTAGACCTACTTCCAGTGATTGGATTTCAACATTTAATAGCACTTTGGAAAGCCTATAACAAAAGCAACCAGATTGAACAATTTTTGAAAAGAAACTTTGCACAGATTTTTGCACAGACGGCTTTAAATACAATTTGCACTTCTTCACTTGTATAGTTTTAATTATAGTTTTAGAAATTTTGCAAATGCTTTTGCAGATTGTAATTCGCTGGGTCAAGGGCTTTTCAAAAATGTATAATTTGTTGCATATTGCGTAATTTTTTTGCACATTTTTTTTCAACTAGATTTCGCAATGAATATTTGGATTTTTACAAATTTGCCACTTTTTTTCAAATTATTGAGTAGAGTCCAAGGGCTTTTCAGAAACGTATCAAATGTTACAGATTTGTATCAAAATAAAAAAAGAGGGGGGGGGATTTGACCCCCCCCCGGCAGCCATTCAGTAAACCAAAGGTCAGGCTAAATAGGGTTAAAAAGTGAACCTAAATAAACAATTTAAAGGATTTCAATAACTAGTCAGATTACCGATTCACATTTAAGTAACATTTTGCTTATATCTGCGCAAAAGTCGAATTTTGGTTTTAAATTCTGTCATTTTCCTCTGTTTTTCTTCCGCATAAATCGGCAAGAACACACGATCAGATATTATCAATTTTAGATAGTGTAGTAGTAGGTTTGTAAATCCTTAAATTATAGTTGGTTTAATGATATTCCGTATACAGTCCCTTTAAATAGTTGGTTTTATGATATTGCGTAATACGGTCTTTTTAAATAGTTGGTTTAATGATATTGCGCGTACAGTCCCTTTAAATAGATGGTTTCATGATATTCCGTATACAGTTCCTTTAAATAGTTGGTTTCATGATATTGCGTATACAGTCCCTTTAAATAGTTGGTTTCATGATATTCCGTATACAGTTCCTTTAAATAGTTGGTTTCATGATATTTTGTATACAGTTCCTTTAAATAGTTGGTTTCATGATATTCCGTATACAGTCCCTTTAAATAGCTGGTTTGATGATATTCCGTACACAGTCCCGTTAAACTGAAAGTTTTGACAGAGTAAGAAAGTTTTTAAGAGCCTGAGATCTGATCAAAGAAGGAAAAGTTGATGTGTTGTATTCTGATTCTAGATTGCCATGGGAGCATTTATCTTTTATCAATTATATAAGAGATTCTCAGCATAAAAAAGGTAATAAAAAGTATGCTTAATAACAAAAAGGACCTTTTTGAATAAAATTTGCAAGGCAATATGCACAATTATTGCAAAACAGTAACATTAATTGTTTAATCATTGCATAACGTGCACAATTATTGTCTTATTTACCCAATTATTGCCTAACATGCCTAATATACATAAGTATTGCCTAATATGAACAATCATTGCCTAAAATGCACAATCATTGCCTAAAACGCAAAACGTTTTATAACATTGTTTTTTCAGACTAATTTTTCGAGCGCTTAAAGATGATAAGAGGTCTGACTGTTTTTGTTTTCCTCTTCCTAAACCCTGGACATAGTTGGGTTCCACCAGGTCAGATGGTGCAGTGGAAACTATAAAACTATGGAATAGGAAGACGACTGTTAGTCTAATGAACATTAAACATCCCTTGATAAGTTGTTAAGACTTCCATTGACGTGGTTAAAGGGACTGTTTAAGTAAAAGGATATAGGCTGAAGCATAACAATATCAGGAGTTGATCGTGCACAATATTAGTTCTATCTGAGAATGCTTGAATGTCGTCTTCCCAATCAGCAGTTTTATTGGTCAAAATGCAATTATTTAATACAATTTACTTGGCGCACTTTAAAAATCTAATATGGAAAGTTTATTCTATGTCAAACATTTCCTAGATAAACGACAGGAAGACAGAGTTGAAATACTTTTGACACTTTTCGCTTGGATTAATAAATAACTGTAAAAGTATATTTCTTGGAGATATCCGTGAGCGAATTCATTCGGAAAAGTGAAACAAAATTTGTCTGCTCATGCTCGGCATATTGCAAGTAATAAAGAGACATTTTTTTCAAGATCTAGATATTATTAAAGAGACATTAATGGACAAAAATTTAGTCTTATTTGTTCAACAATAAAAAACTGAGCTCCTACTTCAAAGCCCTTTGACCTGTATTTTTAACTACTATTTTACAGGGATGTCGGAGCGAACAGCAGAACAATATGCTCAACATTTAGATAATTCTCAGCAGCATCAAAATCATCAGGAAGATCATCAGCAGTATTTGGATTCTCAGCAGATTTTAGATCAGCAGAATCTGGATCATCAAGAGCATCAGAATCATCGCCATAATGATAACAGTGTAGTTCAAGGTAGAGCTTGGGCAAATTAACACTATTTTCAATCTGTTTCTATTTAAAGGGATTGTGATTGTAATTAGTGTAATTTAAAGTGACCCTCTATAAAGATGGCAAGCCTGATTCTAAGCTTTACCCTTTAAAACTTTATCCGATATAGTAGGAATTGTAGATAATCAATCATTATAACATTTTGAAAACTGATTATTTTTAATTGTGATTTCTCTACAAAAGTAACTTGTGCATTTCTAAATAAGAAAGCATATAGAAATTAACAGAAATAACCACTTTTAAGCCTAGAAAAATGACAATATATTCCAAATTGTTACTGTTCTGAATCTGGAATTGCCTTTTTTCCTTGGAGAGTCACTTGAAATGTTGCGTACAGTCCCTTTACCGATTCCTTTGATTAAACTAAATGTTTGTTTGTAATGATTCTTTTCTTCTCTTTGGGGGAATTCCTTGTTATGTTTTCAAACTTCTGTTCGTAAAGTGGTGTAACAAATACCTTGCTCCAATAGTTCTTTAAGTATGTATCAATCCAGATACAACTCTCTCAAACTCTATACTCTCTACCGAGAACTAATACGTCTGACTGTGATAAAACAGAGTTCATATCCAACTAAACTATATTTGAGTATGAGGTATAGATGAATATTAAAACTGACCGATAATATGGTCAGGTGATTTTAACGTAATATATACATTTAGGTTTAGGTTTTTAAGATATGGGGGTTATTACTATATTTATACATCGTTCGATTGGGTTAGGCCTGAAGTTTATTGATATTATCTGTGCTTTTTGTTTCAATTCTCTCTATTCTTTGTTTTAACTAACTGCTCAAGGATTCATTCCATTTGTTAATAGAATATCGTTTTCTCAAAGTGGCGTCTAATATAATAAAAAAAACTGACATTTTATTTTTCAGATTTGGTGTTGGACTCAGAACATTTAATGGATGACTTTAAAGATCTGTTCTCTTCTAGAGACATTGAAACCATGGAGTTGGATCAAAAAGTCAGTATTTTGTACTTTTTCATTTAAAAATATAAATTATAAATTGGATTCTTTAATAGTCATGACAACAATATGGTCCTATCCAATGAAGATGATATTTTTAAGAAACAGACTAAACATGATTTTACTTTTTTTCAGTTGTTTCTTTGGTTTAATTCTCATGACTGGGACATGAACACTAAAATGGACGGGCTAGAACTCTTTAAAGCACTCAGGTATTCTATCTCTTTCTTTAAAAAAATAGCAAAATTAAATGAAAAAAAGGTACTGATAACTCCCACAAAACTAATTTTCAAATCCTTATATCTTCGCAGCCTCATGCTTTAGACATTTGATATGGCAAACCATGAATACTGCTAGATGAAATACCTACAATTTAGTATTAATTCTGAAAATAAAAAAAAGCTTTGTTTAAGTCATGATCACAACTACCACCATGATGAAGATCATGAGGATCCAGGGGATTCTCATCATGATCCTTTCCAACACTCTCCTCCTGCACAAAGGTAGCCTTAGTTAAATAAAAAGGTTTTTTAGATTTACAGGGGATTAAACAATTTATCCATTTAAAAAAAGAATAGATTTCTGAAATGTGTATATACTGTTAACGTTTGCTATTAATGCACAAAGATTATAAATTATCAAAGTCGCAGTACTTTTTGAAGCCACTTGAAGGCCAATAATCCATTTAAGTTTTAAAACATATCGAATATTTAAGATGCCTAAGATTATTCTTAATTGTTCTATAGATAACCTGATTTAGACAAAGCACATACTATCATATTGTCCTATATGATCTTTAACTATGTTATTTTCTAAAGAAAATAAAATCCTAATTTTAATTTGTTTTATTTTAGGCAGCGACTCAGGCGCACAGAGAAAATTGTTGACAAAATACTGAATGAAGACGACTTGGACTTGGATGGAGCACTGGGTTTTGTAGAATTTGCTGCGGCATTCCACTCTGGTAAAATGGCTGGTCTGAAAGTTAAAAAATAAGAATATTCTTATATTTGTTTGTATAATATTGTTTTTGTTTTGTTTTGTTTTGTAAAACTTGTTTGTAGATTAAAGAAAAAGAAATAAATATGGTTTCTTGTGTAATTATATTATTTCTAAAAGAATATAGGATGCGCAAACAAGTAAACAAACAAAAGAAGTAGATGGTTTCCCAATACCTTAATTTATTAAGTAATTCCTTCTAGCATCCAAACTTTTAACTATTTCCAAGGACTAGGGCATTGTAAGTATTTCCCATGGAGTTTCAACATATATATTTTTAAGGTTTTTTTATGAACTTAATTTTTTTGTTGATGATGAAACAACTCAAAAATATTAAAAGATCAAATACCAAATGATCAAATGCCAAACTGCAGTACATTTTAATTAGGTCTACAAGCTAGAAATGCAAACAAATCTGGGTAAAATCATATCAGCTGATCGTACTGCATTGTTGACAACAAGAAGAGAAAGAGAAGAGAAAGAGAAAGAGAAGAGAAAGAGAAGAGAAAGAGAAGAGAAAGAGAAGAGAAAGAGAAGAGAAAGAGAGAAAGAGAAAGAGAAGAGAAAGAGAAGAGAAAGAGAAGAGAAAGAGAAGAGAAAAAGAGATAGAGAAGAGAAAGAGAAGTAAAAAGAATTGAAAGAGCAGAGAAAAGAGAGAAAGAGAAGAGAGAAGAGAGATAGAGAGAAGAGATAGAGAGTGAGAGAAGAGAGAAAAGAGAGAGAGAGATATATTTCTCCGTTAGATACAGATATTCGTCTGTTGGTTTAAAACTTTGGTCGGAACTACTCGGACTCGGACTCGGATTCAAATCTAATGGTTGTTTGAGTCAAAAAGTAATTTCTGATTTTTAAGTTTAAAGATATTTTCATATACATTCTATTTTGTTGGTTAATTTATAATATAGAAGAAAGTGAGAAAAAATCCGGGTCAGAACCCTGGATCTGTCCGTAAAAAAGGACCCGGATCCTCAATATTTCCGGGAGAATAGATCAGGATCATATTTATGTCTAGAAAAACGATTCGGAACCGGATCATAATAGAATTGAGTCTTTGCCACAAACTCTGATTTTAAACAACTATTTCTTCGCAAACCATTCCCAAGTTTTACAACACCAGGTTGCAACGATATAGGTATTAGAAAAGTTGAGTTTGTGGCAAAGACTAAATTCCTTTTTCCAGAAAACTTCAAAACCTGGATCCAACGGATCCGGATCAGGGTTGTTATTGTATATTTTCCTTTAGAAATATTGCATTTCTCTTCTAATTCAGTGTTGAGATGTTATCCCAAACCATACAAGAAACAGAATACAGAATACAGAATACGGAATACAGAATACAGAATACATAATACAGAATACAGAATACAGAATACATAATACAGAATACAGAATACAGAATACAGAATACAGAATACAGAATATAGAATATAGAATACAGAATAATTATGTTTTAGAAGAAAAAAAAACGTTATTTTACCTAAAATTGGGTGAAACGTTTTGGGTGAAACGTGATTGGGCGAACTGTTACCACACCTCTTAATCTGGTCGCAAATAATCTCTTTTGCCCCTAAAAGTGCTTAATTCTGTGAGTTTCTCTATTGCTTCTTATCAGCAAGAAATTTTTTCTCACAGAGAAACTGCAAATGAAAATAAACAGTTTAAAGAAACAAAAACGTTGATATCTAATTCCTACGACAAAGCTTACAAGGGTACTGTTGTAAATCGGGCATTGCCATCATTGCATGAAGGGTCACTTGAAATTATCCTTAAAGTCCCTTAACCCCTTGTGTTTCTCTTGTATAGCATAAAAGTTTCCGAGCAAAGGTCTTGCAAATATAAAAGAATCTATTTTAGACTTTTATTAGTCTTTCTAGATAGATTAAAAACTAATTTATTAACTATATTGGAACTACAAACACGGGACATTATCTAATAGATATTAGGAGGTTGTACTCCACGATACTCAATGGACAAGGAAAAAGAGGAAAAGAACAATGATAAAAAAGAGAAAGAAGAGAAAGAAGAGAAAGAAGAGAAAGAAGAGAAAGGAGAGAAAGGAGAGAAAAAAGAGAAAAAAGTGAAAGGAGAGAAAGAAGAGAAAGAAGTTAAAGAGGAGAAAGAAGAGAAAGAAGATAAAGAAGAGAAAGAAGAGAAAGATAGAGAAAGAAGAGAAAGAAGAGAAAGGAGAGAAAGAAGAGAAAGCATATAAAGAAGAGAGAGAAGATAAAGGAGAGAAAGAAGAGAAAGAAGAGAAAGATGAGAAAGAAGAGAAAGAAGAGAAAGAGAAGAGAAAGAAGAGAAAGAAGAGTGAAAAGAGAGGAAATAAGGGGAAGAAAGACGGCTAAGAAAGGAAACAATCCACATATTAAAAACGCTGCACTGGATAAAAGACATTAAAAACATTCCCAATAAATGATAAAATGTTGGATAGAAAATATGAAAAACGTTCTTAATAAATGATAAAATACTGGATTGAAAATATGACAAAGATCTCAAGAAATGATAAAATAATGAAAGCGTAATTTAGACAACAACAAAAAAAACGCTGGATTAAAAATGACTATGCCATGGAAAGATATTGAAAATTTGCTAAAAAAACTTAAAACCTGCTGAATAGAGTAGATAGATCCCATTTATAAAAAAACACTTTATGAATGTTTAAAAAAGTTTATTTAATTACTCCTGCTAAAATTAATATTTTTAAAATATTAAGAAGAAATATTAAAAACTCTGAATAAAAAATATGATAAACTCTGTGGACAGAAAGTGTACAGAAGAACAGATTATCTTATTTTTACGTTATTATTTTGGAGATGTTGCACAGAAATATTCTCTTTCCGAGAAAACGAGATAAAGTTTTGTTTCTAAATTGAATTAATGGCAAAATGGCTGAATCACGTGCTTTGGCAAACAATAAAATGAGATAAAAAAGAAAATTCTAAAATTCAATTTGAAAATTTGATACAAAACTAATTTAAAATAAGAACTGGAGTGTGGGTGAGCCGGGTGGGGGGGGGAGACTGACGAAAGTCGAGGCCCCCCCCCCCCATTAAAACCTAAATCTGATCAATAATGTGGAAGATATTGTCGTTTTCCTGGCTTAAAAACTGTTTTTTTTCTGATAATTAAATTTTAATAATTGAATAATAAAAAAAACAGTTTTCAAAGACAAAAACATGGAAATCTAATTCTATTTATGAATTCGATCGGTCGTCAGCAGTTTTTGATTAGTCAAACACAAGTTTAGGATTTAAAATTATATTGTTGTATTTGGTATACGTACTACGTACTTAAATAAACATTTGAAAAATAGAAATTTCTTTAAAATTTTGTTTGAATTTAACATCAATCTTTTAATATTTATTTGAAAGATTAAAAGATTTGTTCTAGAGTGGTAAGTTTAATCTAAAAGTTTTCTAAAAGGAAAAATATTATTCGAGTACAAAATTGTTAATTAAAAGACAAAAATATGATTTATTTGAAAATATGACTAATTATTATTCCTAACGGAAGCGAGTAATAAAGAGCACCCCCCAGTCCAAAAGTTGTATGATCCGTGTCGGTACTACAACACGTACTGTATATGCAGTCCGCTGTACTGTACAGTGTAGAGTCGACCCTGCGCGTGTTATGCAACAAATGTAGCCTGGCAAGATCACAGTGATTTGATTAACAAAAATTAAATTGTGCATTGACAAGCTTTTTTGCTCATGAACTCACATCATGACAATTGAACACAGTGAGCCAACGAATGAATGCTTTCCCGCGAAAAATATTAATAATAACTTTGCTTATAATTCATAAAGCTTTAAGTGCTTCATGGTTTTACAATATGCATAATACATGTCTAAAGATACAAAACAATACAAGTGAATTAGCGAGGTAAATTTAAGTTCAAAGCGTTGCAACACTTTAAATCCTGATTCAACTTTTCATAGCAGTTTGGATCAGTGTGAACTCAAAATTGTATTCACAAACTATTCATAATACAATCTTCTTGATCCCCGACATTCTTTTCGCTAATTTCAATAAATGTCATTTTATCTTCCAGCACCTAAATGAATTTTTAATTTTCACAAACAGACCTAAATGAAAACAATATAAATTATATTAATAAGAATATTTACGTAACTACCGACGTAAATGTCCGCGTCTGCATGTTGTAATTTCAAGAGAAATTCCATTAATTCTTTCCCGATTGTGTTATTTTTGACTAATAAAGATGGGATTTCAGTTGATCTCAATCTTATTCAGTTGATCTCAATCTTCTTTCAGTAAAACTGTCTGGGATGAGAAATGTTGGGATGAACCTAGACAACAGTGTAATACTGTACAGAAACCGTACAATAGTACAGTCACAGATCGGAAGTGCTTTACACAGTACGAAAAACAGTGCAAAACTGTTTATAACACTAAGGTTGAGCATGTACCCCGTCAAGAATGCACTACAGTACATGACCAGAAGTTCCACAAGCAATCTAAGCAAGAATGCAACACTTTCCAAGTACCTGTCATTTCTACTGTACCGGAGCAAAAAGGTGTTACACTCTACAGAGAAGGTTAGAGAACGCAATCCTGTAAACATTCCTGTTTGTAATGGTATCCACTGTGCTGAAGTGCCCTCTATGCAATGCAATGATGTACCCAAGGATAAGTGTTGGGATGAACCCAGAGAGAAGTGATGGGATGAACCTAGACAGAGCAGTAAACAGGTTCCCAAGGAGAAGTGTTGGGATGAACCTCACCTAGTGTGCCAGAATATCCCCAAGATGTTGTGCCAGGATATTCCCAAGGAGAAGTGTTGGGATGACAAGAATGTCGTGATGTACCAAAAGAAGAGTGCCGTGAGGTTCCCATTGAGTATATTGACTATATCTCTGTTCATGAATGTAACTCTGTCAGTGTTCCCGTATGCCGCCCTGTACCCCATGAATCCTGCCGTGATGTTCCAGAACAGGTTTCAAAACTGCAGTGCACAGACAGAAATGCTACAGCAAAGCAAGAGAGGTCTGCCATCAGGTTCCAAATGAGGTCTGTAACAGTGTACCTAGGAAGCAATGTACACAAGTACCTGTCAAACAGGTTCCAAGGGAAGAATGTACCACGTGCCCCACCAGAAGGAATGCACGACTGTTGAACTAACTGTCACCAACAATGTACCGGAACAGAAGTGCCATGATGCTTGTGTTAACGTACCCAGACCTTCCTGCACCACAGTTACTGACAAAGTTGAATCTAAGGTTGCATGTGAGGCGAGGAATGTCTTAAAGTGCCCCGGCAGGTGACCAACTATGGGAGTGAACAGGAGTGCAGAACAGTCACGGAGTGCAGCAAGGTGTCTAGACAGGAATGCACTGAAGGAGAATGGGTTCAACCGTCAACGTCTTTAAATGTTCAATTTTATAACCTAGTCCAAATTTTATAGATATTTTAGATTTGATGAAATATAGACTTTCAAATTAAAATATTGTATTCATCCAATTGATGTCAATATTTTATTCATTCAATTATTGTAAATATTGTATAAATACAATTAATGTAAATATTGTATTCATCCAATTAATGTAAATATTGTATAAATCCAATTAATGTTTATATTGTATAAATCCAATTAATGTCAACATTGTATAAAGGTTGTTACAATGAAAATCAATTCTTTAAAATAATTTTTAACATCTCTACATATAAACAAAATATCTTCTAAAGGGAGGGAGTGGGGAACCTTTTAAAGGGGTTGTAAGCGTAATCTAAAGGGATCCATTATTATTTAATATTAATTAAAAAATTAATTCATGCCTGACGGCAACGGTAATGAATTAGATTTCTATGTTTATAAAATTGAAAAATGATTATTTTTAATTGTGGATGCTTTATTAAAATGTCTTGCCCTTGCGCATTTCTAATGCAGGAATACAATGTAAGAATCATCAGAATTAAACCTTATCGATCAGGTTTCTAGGACAATTTAAATTACAGCTTAACAGTCCCTTTAAAGTTTTTACTTCAGTTTAAAAAAGAAATATTTTGTAAAATTTTAACAAAATAAACAAATTCCTATCTTGGGAACCCAGCGTTGCACGGGTTTCTCTAGTTACTCACGCCGTTTACCCGCGCTCGTCGATTACTCGTAAATTAAGATTTTCCCTATTTTTCCTTATAAAAATCAACCCACTCAACTTAGACTTTGAAACCAAGCTAATAGCATTCCCGTGTTTCTCCCAAGTTCCTAAGTCAACATTTGAGACGAATCGGTCGAGGGGTTCATGAGTTATGATCGGACAGACAAACAGAGATTACTACTTTATATATATTGACGCTATAAACGTCTTTTGTTTAAAGGTAAAATGCTGAAGAACAACTCAACTTTTCTTGGCATGTAAGTACATTTTTATTCATGGGTTACTTTGTACTAGCTTGGGAACCCAGCTTTGTCTGGAAATTTTATAATTTGTGCTTGGATTAAATTCCTTTATAAATAAACTAGATTAGGAACCCAGCTTTGTCTGGAAATTTTATAATTGATGCTTGGATTAAATTGCTTTATAAATAAACTAGATTAGGAACCCAGCTTTGTCTGGAAATTTTATAATTGATGCTTGGGTTAAATTGCTTTATAAATAAACTAGCTTGGGAACCCAGCTTTGTCTGGAGTTTTCCCAAAAAAAGTCAATCAATTTTTAACCAAGAATATTACAGTGGTTCTACCCCAATCAAAATTCAAGCCAAGTTGGTCACGGGGTTCTGAGTTATGATCGGACATACAAACTAAAAACAAACTTTCTACTTTATATAAAACAAAACATTACTGAGTTTTTACGGCGCATCACCCCCTTCTTTCTTAAAAAAAAATTTCTGCAACCATCAGCTTTTAGTTTACATTATTATACAGGTATTACTCAATAATCATGTTCAAGAGTACTGATGATTGTGTAATATTATCAGTAAATGATAGGGAACTCATTAACGATCATGTTTAGGAGTACTGATGATTGTGTAAAATTATCAGTAAATGATAGAGAACTAATCAACGATCATGTTCAGGAGTACTGATAATTGTGTGATATTATCAGTAAATGATAGGGAACTAATCAACAATCATGTTTAGGAGTACTGAATTGTGGTATGTTATCAGTAAATGATAGGGACTAATCAACGATCATGTTCAGGAGTACTGATGATTGTGGTATGTTATCAGTAAATGATAGGGAACTTATCAACGAATGTTCCTATTGGCTTGAAGGGATATTGCTGGTAATATGACATTTTTCATTCAGCATTCTATTCTTATAGGTGTTTACTTTTTTTTTTTAATTTTTCAATTACGTTTATTTCCGGTAAACGAAAATTATTTTTGAAATTAAGTTCCTAAAATCCTAATTTAAGTCAGTAATTATGATAGATACAAATTGCAATGATGATAAAATTAATTGCCAGTGCACAGCGGCTGTGCTCCATAAGAAATATTTACATCAAATTATAATTTCTAGCTATAACAACATTGTTTTATAAAAACCTCTGTATTTTACACAATTTTCAGACTTTCTTCGGAATTTTCGGAATCATCGGAAACATCATTTCTGTAATAATTCTCTCGAGGTAAACCTAAAAATATAAATCTAAAAAATTACTAATTTGAGAGCACTTAGCTGAATCCTTTTCCACGAATAATTTGAATTCTTATTTTAAGTTCTTTTGCACAAATTTATTTTCCAATTTAAAATGTTTGCATTTTCGATTATTTGGAAACCCCGATATTTCTGTTAATTTCCAGTTCATAATTTTTACACTCAAAATGTTTGCATTTTTGATTTTTGTTGTTCAAGTATCTTTAAAAATTTCTATTATATTATTCCTAAAGAAAAGGAGTCCCACTAAACATGAAAGCTGAGAAACGAAGTAAGGACTATATTTGCTAGTTTAGCTATCTTGTGACAAAATGTCTATTTAAGAAATCAACCGGCTCTTATTTTGTGTATATTATAAATAGCTTAAATACCTTAAATTCCTTCTCAAAGATAAAAGACGACGTTCACTACAGCCACTGGTTCTGTAAACTCTGGTTCATTCCGAGTACCGTGCCGACTTTTAAGCAGCTACAGTAAGCTTACAGTACGCATACAGTTTGATGGGTTAAGTTTTAACAAAGTATTTCTAATTGTTTTCCTGTAGACAAAGTACATCATCCTCGTTCAACAGCCTCCTCATTGCGTTGGAGGCCTTCGACACCATCTTCATCCTCTTCACCATCATGGACTACTCACTAGCTAGAGGTAACAAGTACACAGTTAAAAGGACTGTAGTCATAATTTGAAGTGACCCCAACATGTAAAGAATTGCATGTATAATTCACAACTGTAACCTCATATTTGACTTAAAACAAGGAAACTAGAGTCATTTTATATTTTAATTTTATTGTGCTTAATTCTCACAATTTCCTCCATATTCACCAAACGCACGATAAAACGTAAAATATTTGACAAACCTTCATTTTTTGGGAAAACTTTATTTTAAAGAAATTTTTTAAAATGCCAGTCTTTGGAATAATATCGACTCAGTTAAGAAATTGGTGGAAAAATTGGGGTTTCTTTCCTGACCTAACATTAAAGGGACTGTCCGCGTACTTTCAAGTGACCTTCGATGACAATGCCCGATTTACAAAGGTACCCTTAAAAGCTTTGTCTGATCAAGCATGAATTAGAAATCCATGTTTTTTTATAACTGCTTTCTCATTTGCGGTCTCTCAGCAAAAGTGGCACATTTCTTGGATTTCTTGAAAAATTATTAGATTTCAACACTTTCTACTCATAAACCGACATTATCTTCCACATTTCTGATCAGAGCTGGGAACTTTTGAATGGTGGATATCGGGATTAAGGCTTAATCCACTCTTTTTCTTAATCTCCAGATTTACATAATCTTGCAAGATTATCTTAAAAGTGTATGAAAAACGATAAAATTCAAATTAATATTTAATCATCTGAGAAACCGTAGCAGCCAATCAGAGAAAAGTGGGCAACCAATGAGATAACAGAAATATTCTCATTGGAGAAAACAATAAACGGATATCCAAGGAGAGACAAAAAGAGTGGATTAAGGACTAAAATGAAAAGTTTCCACAGTGGATAATCGGATCAAGAAGTCAGGATTCCATTCTAAAGTTTTCAGCTCAGGTTAAGGTTTCAAGGATAACGTTGGGAACCGGTCTTGACATCTTTGCAAGAAGGGTCCCTTTAGGAATAACATCCAACATTGAATTTTGAAAAACTTTCGTTAAGTATTTGCTTGGCCGTGGAAGCATGATAGTGTGGTGTGGTTGTATTTAATCCCTCGGTTCTCCTACCCTCTCAACAACACCTCATACTGCTGTTCTATATTCGTTACTGTGGCCATAGCTTGGGAGAGGTAAATTTATAACTATTTAAAGGGACTCTTCACAAAATCCTGTTCAATTTTGAGTTTTTATTTTGATTTTAAAATAATTTTTTAGCCAAAAGAGAGCTTTCACTTTTCTTAAAAGGGGGCTCGTGATTTTTTGTTCTAAAACGCTACAGGTTTAAGGCTACAGGTTTAAGGTTTCAGGTTTAAGGTTTAAGACTACAGGTTTAAGGTTTAAGGTTTAAGGTTTAAGGCTACAGGTTTAAGGTTTAAGGTTTAAGGTTTAAGGTTTAAGGTTTAAGGCTAAAAAAAAAGAAAGTTGGGAAGGAAAAAATCAAAGGCCAAGGGGTTGCGACACTTCAAAGTTAACCCAATCTTGAAAATTTATGCATGCTGATATTGTTTCTAATGTTTTATACAACCTTTATTTCATTTGTTTAAGATATATACCTAATCAATTATTCCAAGATTCTATTTGGTTCTGGCATATTCTACTAACTTTTAATAATTCTTGTTTTTTATTAATTTGATTTATTAATATAATTGATTTAATATTCAGATTTGGTGATAAAGTTAATTTATTTTGTGCATTCATTTTTATATACGCAGCAAAATTAGAATAATAAAATAGAAACAAGAGACTTAAACTTTTAAAAGGAAGGAATTAAATACTACTACGAAATAATTAGAAAAGTTCAATAAAAGGAAGTTTCTGCATCTGACGACGATATATCCAATTCCTCTTGTTGAGCGCGCTATGAACAGATTCTAAAGTTCTAAACTTTGTATGTCTGAAATATATTGTATTTTGTTTAGATACCTCGCAGTGTGTCATCCAAACCATTATAGAACTATGACTCTCACCTACTCCACTAAGCTTCGGTAAGTTTTTTATTTTCTGAAATTTTAAAGATTTTTAAAGATTTTTTTAATCAAAATTAAGATAACCCTTTTTGCTTTACGAAATGTACATTAAAGTTACCCTTCACGCGCGATGTACCTTTTAATGTACTGCGATGTATGTACTGATCTGTTTAGAGTGTTTTGGTACCTGGTTCCTGTAGTACTACTAAGTGTACTGCTAAATGTTCCTAAGTTCCTAGAAACTGAATACTACTACACCTCCACCAAAGAAGAAACCAACGCAACAAAGTAATTTTATTTTGTAAATGTTTAGAATGTCGGTTCAGATATTATAAAAGTTCTTGATCCTAATTAATTATTCTCATGGTTTTAAATCAGGCAGTAGCTCAATACAGAAAGAGCTTGTTCCAGCCACGGTGCTCGGCCCTCTATCTTGTCCTATTCGCGGCGCTCGGCCCAGAAAGTGTCTTAACCAATCCTAACCCTAAAGATATACTAATCTCTCTCTTTCTTGTAATTCAACGCGGCTAGCGCGCGTAACTTCTCTGGGAAATTGCCTTTAAATCAGACCTATGGAATTGAATTCCTGAATAAAGGTTCCATGTAGTTGTGGAATTATTAAAAAGTTAAACAATCTTTTTTTGTATACTTGATGTTGCTTTAATCAAAAATATATGCCAGTTGCTTAAAAATCTACTTAGAAGTGAAATGTGCCTCTGGGCACTGCACAATCACTCATGTTCATTGCACTATTTAAAATCATAAACGTTGAGTCTGAACATAATCTTCACATTCTACAGAAGTCACAGTACTCTAGTAATTTAATAATTTAGTCTGTTGTTGGTACTTAATGAGCAAAATGCCTCAAACCTTCTCTCAGCAGAGGATTGGAGCTTTCTAGGTATTGTCAAATTAATAAATTAATTATTGAAATATCAATTAAATGTCAATTAAATGCGTATATTGATTAACTTATCAATGATCATCATTCGTTTTGTCGTTGAAATTCAAGTGACCCTTCATTTAAGGGCCAGTTCTAAATACAAGTGAACCCTTTATCCGATCAAAAAAGAAGAAGATTTCGTCGTTTTTCTAGGTTTAAGTGTAGTAAATTCTGAATATTTCTACATTATTCTTTTGCCGCAATAATGCGCTTGTCACTTTTGCAGAGGAACCATAAATTAATCAGTTTCCAAAATTATGAACATCGTCTCCTAACTAGCACTTGATCTAACAAAGCTTTGAAAGGTACCATTGTGAATTAAAAGTGTCACTCTAAAAAATGAAGGATTATTTGAAAATACGTTCGAGGCCCTTTACAGAAAAAAATTGTTATTTGATAAAATTCTTTATTTCAAATTTTTTTCTCTAGTGAACTTCACAATGGTACATGACGATCCTAAAGAGACTGTTAACAACACCCTGGCGGTCAGGTATAGAACTATCAAGTGTAAATCATCCTTAACTCCTAGAATTAAATTTCAAAAAGTGACATTTCTTTTTTAATATAGTGAAATTAACATATATACTTATATATATAATATATGAGTGAAATAAATCCAGTTTTTTTACAGAATAAATGTAGTCGATCAATGTAATTAGTGAATATATCATAAAGGTGTTTACTAGAGACTGTAGAAAAAAACACTCTCAAAATGTTTTAAAATTCCCCCCCCCCCCCCTCTCCTCCTTAGAAAATCCTTATTTACGCACCTGGAAACAGGGGCATTACATTTTCTAGCATAAATTCTTTACATATAATTAATCGCGATATAAATATAATATAAATAAACACTGATGTGCAGAAATCTAGTTGAAAGATTTTCTGTTTATAATTACTAATTGTAAGTTGAATGGGTAGGTACAACTTATAATTACAAAACTGAAGGAAACAATGTTTATATTTCAGACTGACCAGCCTGAGAAACAATCCAACATATGTGAAATACTATACTTTCCTTACAAGGTATAACTTAGTGCTACACAAATTTAGAACATTATGTGAAAGATTGTGAAAATAGCTCTAAATAGAGTAATGAAAGGCGATTCTTGCGCGGCCCCGAGCTGTAAATAACAATATGAAAAAAAACCTTTCCATTAAAAAAAAGCAAAATAGTATAATTAACTTGAATATCTTCCATCTGCATCTAGTGAAATATTACTGCATCACAACTTCATCTCATCATTCGGATCAAAGATCGAATGATTGATACGATTTTGTGAATATATATCACTTTTATTTTAAACCCAAAATTAAGTTTAATCAGCAATTGTTTGGTATATTTTTACATGGGTTTAAAAACAATTTTTTCTTAAAAAGCAGAAAAAAATGGATTGATCAGATTGGGTCTGTAACAATTTTAATAAATAGGATGGTGATCACAGGACTTATTCCGTTCACAGCTCTTGTGTTCTTCAAAAGAGCAACCCATCAACGTGTAAATCAACGCCAACCCGCCACACAAACTGCAAACCGAAGGTAAAAATCTTTTTAATGATTTTAATGAATTCGTTGAGTTTTATATTTTATCTAATAAACGTCAATATTTTTAAACCATTTTAGAAATAAAATTAGTAGGATTGAATGAGAAAATTCTAATTTTGTTCATTTAAAAAATGTGTGGAGCAGGAAAATGTTGAGGATTATTATGGTTAGATAATCTACAAAAATAATGTGTTGTCAGTTTACAGTAAACTGTAAAATGAATTTTCTGAACTGTGCAGAATTGTGCAGAATTTTGCAGTATTTTAACTAAAATATTTATACAATGAAAAAAAAAATTAGCCGGAGTTTGAGACTGCTTTGAAATTGTTGCTACATACAGTACATTATCATATAAAAAATATTACATAATTACACTTCCTTACTTTTGATGACTGGATTTTCAAAGAATAAAGAATAATAGTTGACAAAGAATTGAGTTGCAGCTTAGCAGCTTCGTTATTTTTAAAAAGAGTTCACATTTACATTTATACATGATATGCAATACTAGGCTTTCAAAAAACTAAAAAAAAGTTTGCGGATTTATAAAAAATATCGTGGACTTTCTAAATTGAATGCAACACAAATTTTGTTGGAGAAATTTTTGATCATCCATGAACCTTCCCTGGGGTCATGTAAGGCCCCTCACAAAATTTGAACTCGATTAGTTCAGCCGTTTTGACGTTTATTGGATACAAACACACAGACAAACACCCAGACAGACAAGCAAAGAATATATAGATACAATATACAATAGAAAATATACAAAATACAATATAAACCTACTCAATACAATATAACGATAAAAATATTGCACCGGGTACGAAACATATACTGTTACGGTTCAATAACGTAAGAGAGGGCTGAGAGCCCCCCCCCCCCCCCACCTTACTTGAAAGTTCCGGATTTGTGTATAAACTTTGTTCAAAGGCAAGTTGCAAAGTTGTGTCGTTTTCTTTTGAAAAATTTAAGATTTTTCAAAATATATTTGTTCATCAGACAGCAGCAAATGCAGAGTGACATAAACCTGGCGTTCGTCCTGGTCGTCATTGTTGGGTTCTTTCTCCTCTTCAACATCCCCCGCATGCTCCTCAACATGTTCGAGTTCATCCACATGAGCACCATGATCAAGTATGTCATTATATATATATATTGGTGAATTAGGGGACTATACACTGTTAGAAATGCCATTTTGTAAATTTTCGATATCATCATATTTCAGGCCAGGCCTGAAATATGATGATATCGAAAATTTACAAAATGGCATTTCTAACAGTGCAGTCCCAGCTTGTACTGTGTCGCCCGGACATTGGGTAAATAAAGCAGACACTCAATAGGACTAGCCGGTGCAACAAGGTTGACGCGGTCAGGCTTTATGCTTCAAATATGTTGAATTTACTTTTACTAAAGGAGCAGCTTTGCGTGACATTTGTCTGGTCGATATCCATGTTATGAATCGATGGATTGAGGAGAAAAGCACATTTGGTTCCTTAAAAAACGTAACCAGTCCCTTTCAATTGAGATTGGCTCTAGCTGAACATGATATTAACAGTTAATCAATAATAATCTTTATTATTATTCCTTTAGAAAAGATTGTTTTCACTAACCGATAACCAATAAATGGTTTTCATTAATATTTTTTTCTCTGAGCTCCTTACATCATCATTTTTTATTCCATTCTCTTTGCTTGCTGATACTACTTGAGGTTTTAAGTCATTTCAAATACAGCAATCCTATTACTTAAAGCAACTGTATCTTAAATACAGCAATCCTAGTACTTAAAGGGACTGTATCTTAAATACAGCAATCCTAGTACTTAAAGGAACTGTATCTTAAATACAGCAATCCTATTACTTAAAGCAACTGTATCTTAAATACAGCAATCCTAGTACTTAAAGGAACTGTATCTTAAATACAGCAATCCTAGTACTTAAAGGGACTGTATCTTAAATACAGCAATCCTAGTACTTAAAGGGACTGTATCTTAAATACAGCAATCCTAGTACTTAAATGAACTGTATCTTAAATACAGCAATCCTAGTACTTAAAGGGACTGTATCTTAAATACATCAATCCTAGTACTTAAAGGGACTGTACACGTTATTTCAAGAAACCCTCTAGTTGTAAAGTTACATGTCCTATTCTCAACGATACCTTTTAAAGATCTGGCTGATAAAGAATGTGATTTCTATGTTTATTTTTTTGAAAATTTTTATTTTTTGTGGTTTCTCCTTTAGAGTGACCCGCGGATTTCTATGACAGAAACATTGGAAGAAATTGTCAAAATTAAACACTTTTAAAAAATAGTCGCATTAAGGTTTAAAGGGTACCGTTGTGAATCTGAAATTCAATTCCGTAAATGCAAATTGAATTTGAATTTTAGATACAAAATAAAAAAATATTTTTTGGCGTTTTTAATTTAAATATTTTTCAGGTGTGGGAATAATCTCATATCTCCAGCCTGGTTTCAGTGTTTGACAGGGTAAACATTTTTTAGAACTAAGTTTTTTATTTTAAATTATTTTATTTCTTATTTTTTTAAAGCGTTTTTTTAACAGTTTTTTTCACAAAAAAAACATGTGATTTGAATTGTGGCAAAAACTCTTTTCAAAATAAAGATAAAAACTGATTTGAAAATATGGATTACTTATTTGCTCTCACTGATATCTCTTCCATAAACCTCTTTTTCTTTTTGTGACGTTCTTTTCGTCCTGTTTATCGGGGTTGTGTATTCATAATTTTCATTTTTAATTTTCAATATTAAAAACTATTGAAAATTGATTAACATGAAAAGAAAAAGAAGATCCATGTTTTTCTAAAAGATTTTATTCAATACTGGAATATACTGTTCTAATTTAACCTACAGGGTTATCCACAAAGACCTAAATGACGACCTGAAATTTTTTAGTTCTGACAGTGCAACGGTTAAATTTGGTTTTCTGTTTAGAACACAGAATAGTTCTGTTCAGAATAAAATCTTCTTTCAACCTAATTATATAATGTTTAGGTTCAACCTAATTATATAATGTTTAGGTTCAACCTAATTACATAATGTTTAGGTTCAACCTAATTATATAATGTTTATGTTTACCCTAATTATATAATGTTTAGGTTCAACCTAATTATATAATGTTTAGGTTCAACCACCTGATGTTAGTGATGAATGCCTCCACAAATGTTCTGATCTACTGTTCATTCAAGTAATTATAATCAAATAATTTATTAAAGGGACTGTAAACGTAATTTTACTTAACCCTACATTTATAGAGTAACTGATGTGTCAGATTCAAACAGGTTTTCTTTCCATGTACAGTTTCATATGTACTCGTGGATATACGATTCAACTCTGTTTTTATGAAAATAAAGGACAATATCTTCCATATTAAAGGGAGTGTTCGCGAAAAATGAAAGGGGGTATAGGCTTAATGCGATAAAAAAGCGCTTTTGATCGCTACTAATCTTACTTCTATCTGTTGCGTCTATAAGGAGAAACTTGTTAAAGACGTCTCATACCGAATAACTTAGTGCCCATACAATTAAGCCTATACCTCCTTTAATTTTTCGCGAACACTCCCTTTAAGCTGCTGAGCTACAGTTTAAAGGGTGTCTCTGTGAGTTTAAATAGAGCACGTGGATTTAATGATTCTGTCAATATTTCAGAAAGCTGTGACTTTCGATCACAATTTGACATATTAAACATAATATTTTAGCCTTTTTCTTAAATACTTTTTTGCCAGCATTTACATTTTGAATGTAACAACTCCGTAACAAATCCGTAAGATTGCTTCATTATTGATCAAAACGTGTATGATTTCAAATAGAAGAAACCGAATACCTCTAACTCCTGCTTAGTCCGGTGTGAGAGGATCACTTGATTTTACGTCGACTGTCTCTTTAAAACTCAAATTAATTTTCATTTAATGGTGTGACATCAACGATTTGTAATTATTTACACAATACTTCATAAAAAACATTTAATGACGATTCGATGATGGTTCTGAAACCTTGTCAAAAATCTCTTTAAAATGTTAAATTATAAAACCTATTATCACGTTAGGAACACCTTACAAACATGGTGCAACTTTGAAACTCTCTTAACTTTAAACTAGGGTTTCAAACGCAAGTGGATTTTACTTGCGCACTATTGCGAGCCCTGTAATTCTGCGCGCAATTCCGCACAATTTGAGCATGCAATTCAGCGCAATTGAATTCTGATTGGATACCCTACTTTTAACTACGGTGTCACGTTAAGTTTTTCATAACTCGGATTTACAATTGAAATCCCATCGAAAATTCCCTTTAAACCCAAAGTTACATTAAAAATGTCTTTCAAAAATAGTGTGACGTAAGAAACTTCCTGTTTACCTGCCGCCATATTGGAAATTGAGTAAACTCCGCTATCACGTAAAAGAAACTCCTTCAAAGTGTGGAAAACGTTAGGTATCTCTTAAAATGTGCTTTCTTTGCGGAAATCTCTAGAGTTTGTTGTCACGTCTACAATTTTTGTAACCTACCATGTTTCGAGTGTAAACTTATGTAAAACTTTATAATACACTTACACTTCAATGGATTTAAAATAGACTGAGATGTTATTTTTCTGATCCTCTCTAAGTGGTCTTGTTATGAATAAAAATAAACTTTTATTTAGCGATAACAAGCTGAAGTGCCCGTCATGGTTTTTAATTAATCTAATTTTTGTAGACAAACTCATGTGGCCAGACAGTTAATCTCAGGAATAATTAACCTATCCATATCCAATAGTACCCAGGGCGACGGAAAACAAAGTTAACGGAAATGTTAAATGCGAAACGGAGGTTTTCGAAAATTAACAAAAGAGTCCGTCAACGAATGGCAAAATTGTAAGTTTTTTCATCTTTAACTAACGGAAAAAGCCGTTTTTGAAAAAAATTAAGAATTGAAAAAACCCCAAACTTTTGTGTATTAAAAGAACGGCAACTTTCTTCATATTTTTACTTCAAATTGCAGAAAACTAACAGAAATAAATAACGGCTAAAAGTCAGACCCTGTCCAGCCCTAGTATTTTGCAGGGCTGGGCAACGTTCCGTAAATGGAACGAAGGTTTTTGAAGAAAAAATAACGATTGAAAACGAAAACGAAACGGATAGGGTTTTTAAAAACGGCAACTTTCGTTCTTTTTTCGAATAAAATTGCATGAAACTTGCCAAAAATAGTTTTTTAAATGTATTTATACTAGCCTTAGAGGGCGCTTCGCGTCCATCTTCTAAATTAATTGTGAACATGTTCTCTTTGTGTACATCGTAAAACAAAACAAAAATAATTCGCGGATTTTCACAAAAAATTTCGTGGATTTTCAAAATTTTAAAAAATTTAATGAAGATCGAATTTTGATGGAGACAAATATTTAAAATTTCAATCATTCATAAACCTTCCCTGGGGTCCCTAGATGTCCCACAAAAAATTTGGGCCCGATCGGTTCAGCCGTTTTGACGTTTATTGGATACAAACAGACAGACAGACAGACAGACAAACAGACAAGCCAAATTTATATATAGATGTTTTTAAGTGTCGTCCTCAGATTTTAAAGATTTTTTTTGCAATTCGGTTCCGTTAATCCAATTTGATAAATTTTAACGATTTTTTAATTAAATTTTGGAATACAACTCATACACAGTACACAGTGTACATCTATATATAAATTTGGCTTGTCTGTTTGTTTGTTTGCTTGTTTGTCTGTCTGTCTGTCTGTTTGTATCCAATAAACGTCAAAACGGCTGAACCGATCGGGCCCAAATTTTTTGTGGGACATCTAGGGACCCCAGGGAAGGTTTATAAAAAATCAAAATTTCAAATATTTGTCTCCATCAAAATTCAATCGTCATTAAATTTTTAAAAATTTTGAAAATCCGCGAATTATTTTTGTTTTGTTTTACGATGTACACAAAGAGAACATGTTCACAACTAATTTAGAAGATGGGCGCGAAGCGCCCTCTTAGGCTAGTTAATATATATTTGGACACTCGAGATTAAAATTAAATATACGATTACTTGTAAATTGCTAAGGGTTAGCCAATTTGATTTCTTAAAATTGATATTTAGTTTAAAATATAGATATTTAGGTAGATACTAGATCAATATCAACGAAGTATTTTTTTCAGCTCTGAGTTTAAGACTATGCTTAAAAGTGGAATAACGAGCTTCTACCGAAAAATAAAGGTATCCTCTCAGCTCAATTTGTTCAAACATATATTTATCAGAGATTTTGTTGTTTAGGTAAGATACAGGGTGTCTCAATAAACATGCGAATTACATGACAACTTCTATATCGTCTTTGTTCCATGCTGGAATATTTCGTAAACATCATATTTTAGTATCTAAAGTTAAAACATTTAACACCGAAAACTATACTATACCGTCTCGGGATTTCCAAACATTTTTACCTTTAAAATTGACAGAGATATTAGGAAATTGACAGAGATATTAGGAAATTGACAGAGATATTAGGAAATTGACAGAGATATTAGGAAATTGACAGAGATATTAGGAAATTTGTCCAGATTTCATGTTTAATTGAAACTAAACAAAACTGTTCAAATGTTTAATATCTCTGTCAATTTTTTAAAATATTAAGATGGTAGACCTCATTAGACTTTCAATCTTTTTTTGATGAACTTCATGTACGATATTTAAGTCGTCTATTAATTCCCATTTTTATTGAGAAACACTGCAACATACTCTTTTTGAGCAATAATTTGGGGAGAACTTTTCAAAAGCAAGAGTCAGAACTAAAAAATGTGATTTTTTTGTGAAAATCCTGGTTTGCAAATCCTAGCTTTTCCGTAAAATACACACTTTTATTTTTAAATTTTGTTTTCAGGGCCCATCTCGTCGTATTGACAATGTAGAGATGAATCTGCTTCCTACCCCTCCTCGTCAGTCACGAGTCCTGCGAGCCTCAAGAGCTTCCCGAGGATCCCGTGGACAGCGAACTGCCCAGCTAGAAGTTTCTCCTCCTCCTCCTCCTCCTCCCTCAGCTCTTTCGGAGTATACTACATTCTCATCAAATTCCAAGTATTCAATCCGTTCTAATGGCCGTCTTACAATAAATTCTAGGATCTGTTTTGCAATTAGCCCTAAGATCTGTCCTACTTGGCCTATCAATCCTATGAAGAAAATCCATCCTACAATCCGTCCTACAATCCATCCTGCAATTAGTTTAAAAACTGACAAAATCCTACGATCTGTCCTACAAAACTCTTACCATCTATCATTCAATTCATACAATCCGTTCTTTGATCCGTTCTATGATTCAGTCCTATGCTTTCCATGAAAACTAAAATAATTTTTTTCAGTCCTATGATTCAGTTTTCTTGCAAATTTTCAGATTCTTATTTCCCATGAGATTCATTAAGTTCAAATACCGTTGGTTTTTAAAAAAAATAGATATCTACTTGGTATAAAAGGAATTGAATTTTTGCCACAAACTTTGATTTTCTGTTCCCTATACCGTAGCAACCCTATGTCGTAGACATTAGATATTTCAAACTATGAGTGCTTTAAGCTCAAATAAGCTAAGTTTGAAATATCAAAGTTTTACATCATCAGGTTGCGGAAATACAAGTATCAGAAAATATGAGTTTGTGACAAAGACTCAATTCTTGTATCACTGTTTTGGGGAATTCCCGAAATATCCATTCATTTGGGAAATTTCCAAAATCTCAAAAATATAGCAGCCTCAAATTTCTACAGAAATTGGGTAAATCTGGGAATTCCCCAAATGCCTATTTTCTTCAAAATTATGATTGCTGTCGGGTAATGAAGTGTTAAGTTGCTACAGGACTAATGTCTATAAAAATATTTTAGTTGCAACATTCCCTCAAGACGTGTTAGCCTCCCCATCGAGTACACCACACAGAGGCTGGATCTTCTGGACACGCCTTGTCTCAGCGAGGGGGACCTGTCCTCACCGTCCTTGAGTAGGCGGTACAGACTGTCTCCGCCCACTTTGATTGTTGAAAGTGTTTTTCAAACTTCTTCAGATAGTTGGGACAAACCAGACACGCCCACCCGTAGCCGACTAACGGTTTCCACGATGGTGAATGACAAGGCCACGCCCTTAATATTTTTAGAAGATACAGTCTTACCTTTTGATATTCAGGTACGTTCTAGTATCCCTGAGTGGTTGTAGATTATATATTAAGCGAAAACATTCGTTCCGACCGACGAACAAGCCACAGCTATTGGGCGATGTCGCAAAACACTATGAAAACATACATAAGATAATAATAAAAGATATCTGAATGTTAGTGTTATATGAAGTTCTAAATTCCATCGAGTGTAAAATATCAGCTTTAATTCTAACTCCCCATTATCATAATGGGATTAAAAGGTTTATGTCTTAGCAAATGTGACTAAATTAAGATGAAAGGGAACAAAATATCTATATCTTTTTCTTGATTATATTGTTGTATTTAATACTCTTTAGTTCTATGTTTTCCAATAACCAATTATTGGCATTTACAAGAACATGTTATGAAAAACAAAAAATGGATTTAATGTTAATCTGTTTTTAGTTTTGTTTATAAAACAACGCTGCTAAATATCATCGGTCAGAGTACTGAAAATTACTGCAGAACGCCGCGTAATGTAAATCCTTTAAAAAAGTCGTTCTCTAAAATTCTCAGCATATTTTAGCTTTTCTAATTTGTCCTTATTTGTAAATTAAGAACGGACAGTGACAGGGGCGCAACTAAGATAATTTAGGGAGGGGGGGGGGGGGGGCAATTAAATTCATATATTGATGAAAATTACATTACGGAAAAGTAAGAGAATTTTACTTCACAAACGGCTTCCGTGGATAAGTAAATTGTATAAAATGTATAAAATTGTATAAATTGTATAAAATTGTATATAATTGTATAAAATTTTATAAAATTGTATCATCTTTAAGATGAAAACTTTTTGTGAAAACTTTGTAGAGCGTGATGTTATTCTACTTTATTGTCTGCAAATGGGCAATGATTTTTTTTACAATTTATTTCTCAGAGGGTCACGCTATGAAAACTAAAAAATCAGTGACATTATGAAAAATGAAAGCTGTTTTGAACAAATATGATTTTTGGTCGTAAATTTGCATTTGTTGAGCTGCTTGCAAATATCAAATTGGAAAAGATTTGCTAGAATGTTCAAAATAGGATTTTGATAAACAATATAATACATTTTCATTAATTTCAATTCGAAACTTATACAATTTCAAATAACTGAAAATTGTTGTAAGATTTCTTTAGATAAAAATTAGTACAGTTAAATTGTTCTTAACAAAATATTTAATAAAATGCTTATTCAAAGTTGGGTTTAAAACGTAATTTTGTGCCATAGCAACAAATTACATACAAAATTGGATATTTCTTAAATCAATTTTATTTTATTATCGGTAAAATTGAACAAAATTTAATCAGTTTTTAACTTTTGACAATTCTATAACTTCATCAAAACCAAACGTTCTGATTTCTCTTTCTGCTAATAGTAAGATTGTAAAATTGTGATTAAAAAGTATAGAATTAAAAATTACGCAGATCATTAATATGTTGTATAAATTATAAATCTTGTTGACGTTTGTATTCTTGTATTAATTTGTAATCAATCTTGTATACATTTGTAAATTTGTTGTATAAATTATTAATCTTGTATACGTTTGTAATCATCAAATATTTGTAATCTTGTATATATCTGTAATCTTTTTGTATATGTATTCTTAGATATATCTGTAATCTTGTGTATATCTGTAATCTTGTATACATTTGTAATCTTGTACACAGTTGTAACATTATATACATTTAGAACCTTGGATACATTTGTAATCTTGTATATATTTTCAATATTGTATATATGTGTTATCTTGTATAATGTATATATATGTAATCTTGAATATATTTGAAATATGTATATATCTGTATTATTGAATAATGTATTTATATTTAATCTTGTAAATATTTGTAATATGTATATATCTGTATTCTTGTAAAATGTATTTATATTTAATCTTGTATAACAAAATAAGTATTCAAAACATGATTTTTTTTCACTCATCGAAATTTGTTTTCAAAAGTCTTGTATAGATCTGCAATCTTGTAGATATGTAAATGTAATCTGTACATATATTTGTAAAATTGTATTATATTTGTAATCACTTCATGAATAAATTGTCTCACAATTATAAAATTCCTTACGATAGCCTTTAAACCTTTCTATTGTCAACGATGAAGGAAGTATCCTATTTTTGCCCAAAAATTGATTATTTTTAGTTAAGGTTTCTTTGAAAAACGTGACTTTCGGATTTTTGCGGCAGAAGCGAGTTTAAGGATATCAATAGAATTTAAGACCTTTAAACAAATTCAAAAGATGCTTGTGTGAACCGGAAATACAGGTTGAAAAGCTGCTTATGTAAACCGGAAATACAGGTTGAAAAGATGCTTATGTAAACCGGAAATACAGGTTGAAAAGATGCTGATGTGAACCGGAAATGCAGGTTAAAAAGTTGCTGATGTGAACCGGGAATACAGGTTAAAAAGTTTCTTATGTGAACCGGAAATGCCACACACTGAACCAGAGTGTGAACCGGAAATACCACACACTGAACCAGACTCGTGGCACTCAGTTAAGATATTTTTAAGCTAGCATGTCTATATATCATAAAATAATGAATTTAAAATCTTTGTTTAGTATCTTAATTTTATTTCTAAAAGTTGATTTAAAGTTGATACGACTAACAGAATATTGAAGAATTTAGATTCCTTGCCGATGGAATTTCTGAAGTCTGAACCGGATCATATTCCAATATTATCTTGTAGTGTAAAAAATGCTTGGCTTCCAAGAAAACCTTAGCTTGAATACAAAATCAAGAAGAGGCAATAATGATTGATTTTACATCGAATATACCTAGGAAAGTAAATAAATTTCTCTTTCCATTTTTTGAAGAAATTTTAATTGTAAATTGCTGAACAGAGATGGCCGGGAAAACCAAGCAGACAACATTCAAACCTACATCCCCCCCCCAGATTACGAAAGAAATTCGTTTACGGCACTACTAATATATGGCATTTTGTATACTGTGTAGTGCTTTGCACTTAATTTTTGTAATGCTTCGCTAAAACAATCATCTCTAATGAATGTTTTTCCAATGAAAATTAATTAAATTCTTATTTTTTCAAAAAATATCGTTATTTAGTTAGTCCCACAGAAAATCGATTTCATTTGATAATTTTAGCAATATTTAATTTAAAACAGTTAAGTAAAATGCCCGCAAAAATGGGAATGCAAAGCTAAGCTAATTATTTATAATAAAAGTTTATTATTATTATGTTTTAGTTGAGAGATTTATTAGCAGCAGAGAGAGAGAGAGAGAGATTTATAAATATTGATTAGAGAGAGATATTATTTATATACAGGGTGTCCCACGAAACATGACAATAGCAAGACGACTTGAAAGTCGTCTTTGGTATTTGAATTTATTTGTGACATTTAGTCTTCTATCTACTTTAACATGTATGATTCTTGAAACAATTATCACATAACTCTCCTAGCCCTGGCATTTCCAAAAAGTGGTCTGCGTTTTTTGTGCTTTCAATATTACTGGAGATATAAAGAGTTTGGTTCAGATTTCAATTTTGTTAAATAAAAGCAAAATTGTCGAAATCTGAACGAAATTCTTCATATCTCGGGCAATATTGAAAGCACAAAAAAGGCAGACCACATTTTGGAAATGGCAGGACAAGGGAAATTTTGTGATTATTATCTCTAGAAATTTACTATTAAAATTAGGTTGACAAATAAACGCAGCAAATTATATCAAAAATCAAGACGACATTCAAGTCGTCCTGCATACTGTCATGTTTCGTGCGACACCCTGTAGAGAGAAGGATTCTTTAGCAGAGGATAATGTATGTCGATTAACTGGTAAATGATAAATCAAAAATAAGAATATAAGACACATGGATGACAGAAGGAACCGTACATTGCTGGGCAAGAAATTGAGAAATGAATTTTGTCTTTGTCATAGAATCAGATTTCCATAAAACCTGTATCTTTGCAACTTAATGTTATAAACCTTCGATATTCCAAACAATAAATTCTGTTAGATCAAATAATATTAGTTTGAAATATCAAAGGTTTATACCATTGCTCTTTTTAAAGATAAAAGAATTTGAAAATTTGAGTTCGCGGCAAAGCTAAAGACTCAATTTCCTTTGTTATAACCGCAATGACGATTTTGGATACAGGATTGCCCACAAAGGATGAGACTTCAGAGACGACTGTACGGAATTTGTAACTCGCATTTTCTAACCACTATATCTTTGCAACCTTACGGTGAATTAATAGTTTGAAATATCAAAGGTCTTGGAGAACAGGTTGCCAAGTTATAGGAATTGGAAAATCAGAGACCAGAGTGTGTGGCAAAAACTCAAATCCTTTGTTTCTTTCTCTGCTGAATCACATAAGCTATCTAAAGAATTCATTCAAGGCAAAAGACTTAGTTTGACTTAGTTTAAAGTCGTCTTTTCAGTCTCATCCTGTATGGGAAACCCTGTCAATCCTAGAACAAAACATTTGGCATAGGACCCCACAACATAAGGTCAAATTAAAAATGTTATATTTATTCATATTTGTTCTAAAATGGTTAAGTGATTTTTTTTACTTAGAATTATATCTAGATTCATTTAAATTTTTCTTCAACAACAAAGCATGATATATTTCAAATAAACCATCACAATTTACTGTGCAGTTTGGACCGTCTTAATTAGGGGAGGTTTATTTCAAGTTTTGAGTGGTTGAGCCTAATTATCAGATTCAAAAAAACAGATTATCTAAGAATTCTATTGTTCTCAAGATTTTTAGTTTTTACTTCTTAAACTCTGATTGAATAGACATCTTTAACATAGAACTCTTTTCATCTCGGAGCACGAAAATTATACCTTGAACAAGTTTATTGATTCATTTTTAAAATGGTTTATCATATATACAAATATAATATATATAAATATAAATACTACTAGCACAGTGGTTTACTTAAAGTACTAATACATTAAAAATACTAGCACACTGGTTTACTTAAAGTACTAATACATTAAAAATACTAGCACAGTGGTTTACTTAAAGTACTATTACATTAAAAATACTAGCACACTGGTTTACTTAAAGTACCAATACATTAAAAATACTCGCACAGTGGTTTACTTAAAGTACTAATACATTAAAAATACTAGCACAGTGGTTTATTTAAAGTACAAATTAATACAGCAAAAGGCACAATGGCTTGTTTGAAGTACAAATAAGATATAGATACAACAGTGGTAGGCGCTATTATCAATACGATGAAAACGACTTTTCTTTTGATTTTTGATAAACTTTTTTCAAATGACAACATTGCAAGTAAACTGAGAGAAGCTGTTAATTGACAGCTTCTAACTTCTATATGTTTTCATGTTTATGTTTATTTATTCTGTTAAAAATCTTGGTATAAATCAAAAATTAAAATCAAAAGTTGTGTTCATTGGATCGAAATATACAACAACGACTGTAGCACTGCGGTTTATTTGAAGTACAAAGCTTTGTTACATTTAGCAGACCCATGCTCCTGTTTGTCGTGGCAGACTATGTGAACAAGGCGAAGATTCTAAATAATAAAAAAATAATTTTTTATATATTAATAAAAAATTGGCTTAGGTCAAAACTTTTGCAATGGTATTTCCTGCAGAAAGCACTTATCCATATCTTTTGGAGTTATTAGGTTAATTATTAGGTTAATTATTAGGTTAATTATTAGGTTAATTGTTAGGTTAATTATTAGGTTAATTATTAGGTTAATTATTAGGTTAATTACCAAAATATTCTTTTTCCAAATGATATATGGTAAAAGTACAAGCCAGCTGTTTTTAACGGAATAAATGTTAATTCAAGTCTTTAAACTTTCCATTGATTTTAGCCTTTGTGCAATGTGCAATCCGTTACAAAAAAGTCTTCCGTTTTATTTTTTTTGCGTAAAGATCTGAATAATACATTTTATCCGCCTTTGCTTTTTCAGTTTAAGGCTTTTAAAAGTTCTCCCAGTAAGATTCATAATAAATATTAAACTTGAGATAAATCTTTTTGTGTTGAGTGTTTTTCCATGTTACTAAATATAACAAAGTTGGACAGTGGAATAGGAAATCTTTGCAATTAATGTCATAACAAAATCAATGCCTGATATATATATATATATATAACTAAACTATCAGAGTACTTCGCGCCCATTTTCTGTTTTAATTTATACTCAATTTATCAGCATTTTCTCCTTAAATTGTATTCAATTTTTCAAGATTTCAGCCGACGTTGAATTGAAACCGGTTTTTGGGGGATTTGAGACCGGCTTAAATTCATTAAATTCGGACACTGGGGGATTAATGTTTGAAATCTGATTAAATAAACCATGGCTGAAATTTATATATTCTAAAACTTGTGCCAATTTCACTCGAAAACTAACTTTGAACTTTAAAATTAAGATATGCATGATATTTAAGAATTTAAACTTTCTGAAAATTAGAACTGAAAGTATTTGGAATTTACAATTACAAATTTTAAAAAGTGATCGGCGAAAATCTCTAACTCTATTTAGTTTTAAATAGAAGTATAGGTTTTAAATCGAACTATTTTAATTTACTTTAAACCATTTCAAAGAATCCTGAATCTTCTCCATAATAAAGAGATAAATCATCAAATTAATAAAAAACAAACCTTTCGTGTGAATAGAAGAGAATAAAAGTATTCATTGTTAATCTGCATAATCATAATATTTCTTAATTAAATTATGTCCATCATCCCCCCCCCCCCCTTCTAGAAAAAGGCCTTAGAGAAAAGCATCGGGTTGAAATGCATGTTCATAGCCCAATTTTTCAAGGCTAGCACATTGAAAAAGTTAGATCAATGACTTTTATATTTTAGGTGCTGAGGAGGGTTGAAATTTTTTTTTTAAAAAGTATCTGTTTGTTTTAAACAAATATCAAATTGTGACACATGTTTCTACATCCATTTTTCAAGGGCTTTTCAAAATTATAGTTTTTAGATAGGTAGCTTTAGTCATAATAAAAGTTATGGGCTATTTTAGATTTTTCAACACAGACCGGGCTTTTTACCGCCCTGCACGGTGCACCCTACCCTATGCATAAAAAAATTATTTTACAAAAAACATCCTTTAACTTTCTTTTTATCAAAATTCAAAGAATTTCACGGTGATAGTGTCAAAAATGAGAGTGCTCTGAGGCAAAAAGAGTCGACCCCNTTAATTTGTTTTCTTCTAGAATAACAGATTATTAAATTACAGATGAGTTTTCCTTTTAAAAAGAAATCAAAAAATATGAATGAAGAATAAATAGAAGTTAGTTCATAATTACATGGATTTCTCATAATTGAAAAAAGAAAACTTAAGTTGCCCTTTTTCATAGAGACTTAATTAAAAAATTTCCTTGTTGATGCCAAAAATTGAACCTTTTTACACAGAGGATTGAAAAAAAAATGAAATTATTTGTAGGCTAATCTATAAATTAACACTTAAAGATTACGAAAACAATGTATTCTAATCTTCGATAAAACAAAAATAAAATATTTTGAGGATTTACAATTTTTTATTTTCATGGATTTTCAAGATTTTTGAGACAACTTTTAGTTACTCTGAGCATCCATAAAAACCTTCCCCGGGGTCATGTGAAGTTTTGACATTTAAATTTAAAAACAAACAGACATTCAGACGAAGCAAAGTATATTTTGAAGATGAAATATGTTCCTTAAGTTTTTTCTTTGATTTTTCCAAAGTTTCTACAGCTTCTATCATGCTAGGGACAATACTGCGGGATCTTAAATAAAATATATCAATATATAAATTCAGAATCATTTCACAACTTTCATATTTTCTAGAACCTTAAACAAATTTTAATTTTTCATATCTTAAAATGTTTTACGATAAAAACTGAAAGAATAATAAATTTAATCAAACAGCGCCATATTCAATTCAAAAAAAGTAAATTAAAAACAAGAAAAACAATGGCATCGATTTTATTATAATAATTTTAATTGTAACTGTTCTAATTAAAAATATATCCTTTATAAAATTTTAGATAAATATTAGTGCGTATACAGTTAGGGGGAGAAATAAAAACTATGGTTTCTTTGAGGGGTCAAGTCAGTTAACACAGGGGGCGGAGGCATCCCTTGAATGTTAAGTCCCCCTCGGACATATTCATTTACAACAGTCAACGTTACAAACGTAAGAATCATGATATGTATGAAATGTGAAATATCACCTCTCTATGACATGATCTAGATTCCAGGTTGAGAAGAGTATTCTGTGTTCCCTACTCCTATATGGGTTTATCTCATGAACCTGCATCAAGCAAAATCAAAAATTTGTATTTAAAAAGGTCGCTGAACTTTCGATCAAATCCTCATGAATCTTTAACTTTGAATCGGCGATTATGAGCTACCCAGCTCAAATTCATTAAAGTCGGTCAATGGATCCAAGCAATAGAGACTCAAGCCTCTGGAGCCACTCTACCCCTATCCTTTAGAATATATAGTACATAAGAAATGTATACAAATTTTTTGAAAAAATATTTAATATTTTAGCAGAGATGCAATATTTAGATAACACTGCATAACCATAAATTAGAGATTAAATATTTTCTTTTAAACATTTTATTTATTACTTATATAAAATATATTCTAACGTTTAGGGGAAGCGCCAGGTCATTTTAAATACTCATCTGCGGTTACGGAGGCTTGGAGACCATTTTGCGGGGCTCATGGCGGCCCTGCACACCCTCCCTCAATTAAGTCGAGCCTCTCTTGAGTTTTCACTCCAAGAATTTGTCCAGTTAGGAATTTTAGATTTTTTGGGGGTTAATTTTTTGCTGAAACTTTATTGGCTGTTCACAATGAACCAAACTTACATATCACACAAGCATCTATTAGGAGTTTATCAATTACTTAGTTAGTAGAAAGCAGTCCAGGTCTCAACAGCCCCTCTCTCTGAGAGAAAGCATGCAAAATGCTTGCAGAATATATTCAGGACTAGTGTCGCAACCCTTATATAACCTTTATGCAGTCAACGAGTATGGGTCAGGGGGAGGATTGTTCAGTTAGCTGTACTATACACTTACTACTGTTTACTAATATTGATATACTATAGGTTAGGCCAGAATCAACTTATAATAAACAAATATGCAGTACGCTCTCGGTATAGTTTATGGCCTATGAAATAAGTAAAGGATTAGCGTACATCATCACTCTATACACTTTAACCTCGTTGGTATGGGTTTACACCCTTTGATAATGGTATATGTCAAAGTCTACTACAGTCAACGAGTATGGGTTCAAGCCCTTTACTAATGGTAGATGTCAAAGTCTACTAAAGTAAATAAGAACAGGTTAAAACCCTTTGATAATGGTGAATGTCAAAGTCTACTACAGTTAACGAGTATGGGTTTACACCCTTTGCTAATGGTAGATGTCAAAGTCTACTACAGTCAACGAGTATGGGTGCACACCCTTTAAAAATGGTAGATGTCAAAGTCTACTACAGTCAACGAGTATGGGTTCACACCCTTTGCTAATGGTAGATGTCAAAGTCTACTACAGTCAACGAGTAAGGGTGTACACCCTTTGATAATGGTGAATGTCAAAGTCTACTACAGTCAACGAGTAAGGGTGTACACCCTTTGATAATGGTGAATGTCAAAGTCTACTACAGTCAACGAGTATGGGTTCACACCCTTCGGTAATGCTAGATGTCAAAGTCTACTAAAGTCACTGAGTAAGGGTTCGCACCCTTTGCTAATGGTATATGTCAAAGTCTACTACAGTCAACGATTATGGGTTCACACCCTTTGCTAATGGTGGATGTCAAAGTCTACTGAATGGGTTCACACCCTTTGCTAATGGTGGATGTCAAAGTCTACTGAATGGGTTCACACCCTTTGCCAATGGTGGATGTCAAAGTCTACTACAGTCAACAAGAATACATTGCTACTTTTGCTGAATCAATATGTATTGTATAAGTTCAATGAATGAATTCCTGAAAATGTTTTGATTATTTGAGTGCTGACTAAGTATCTACTTGTTAAGGCACAATGAATGTTTATTCAGTTGATATTTCAATATAAACAGTTTGTTTCAACAAATACCGGTCAGAACAAAGTAATTGTAACATTATATTTTCAATTTGCTCATATTAAATTTACTTTTGTGTTTTGCTAAACCATCATGCATTATTATTTTGTATTTTATGTTTGAAAATAAATACTATAACTATAACTTCTTTCAGCCTGAAACAAAGCACTGTTGTACGGATGGCTCCATATAATAGTATAAGTAATAAACAATAAACCAAATAGTTTGTACTTTTCAAATCCTAAATGTAAGGAAGAATTTTCGGAACTGTCTGACTCACTTGAAAGAAACTTAACACATCTCAAGTCATAATTTTCAAATTCATAAATATTTGCAGCCTGATGGTGTATAACCCTTATTTTTTAACTTTGACTATTTGATCTAGTATATCAAAGATCTACGATCAGAGCCTGCGATTTAAAAATTTTGGCTCGAGTCGTAATTCCTTAAACCCGACTTTAAGACCCACTTTTCGACCCAACTCTGACGACAGCTTGTGTTACGTGATTGACAGCTGCATGATCTTCCGCTCGACTTAAGAAGTTAGGCCCAATGAAAATAAAACCGACCTTGGTTGGTTTTAATGGAGAATAAGGCTAAATGTTGTTGAGTCTATTCTCATAAAAACCAATTACTTCCATGAAAATCCACCAAAAAGAATATTAAACCGGTTTTTTGAACTCAACTCTGTGGAAAATGAGATTATTAACAACTTAGACCTGAGCCGTATTTTCCCGAGTTTTTAAAATCGCGGGCTCAGAGTCGAAGATCTTGCAGCTGTCAATTACGTGACCAAAGCTGTCGTCAGAGTTGGGTCGAAGATTGGGTCTTAAAGTCGGGTTTAAGGAATTACGGCTCGAGCCGAAGTTTTTAAATCCGGGCTCAGGTTGCAAAGGTCAAAGGATTAGATAATTAAGTTTGAGGCAAGCACTTTAAGAACCAGTTTTTTTATTGATATTCTTTGGTTCCGAATCTGGATCCAGAGAGCAACAATGTTTCGGATACCAAGATGATCATCAGTTATAAGGTAGATTTCTTAGAAAGTAGTGATGGGCAAAAAATTGGTTTATTCTTTAATACAGAGTTAAAGGTTTTCGACTTTTAAAAGATTCCATAAAAATTTGAGATGTTTTACTAATTTCAAAATTGTTTGTTTTAAAAATTTGGCAAATATTGACCATCAGAGAAGATACAAGCAAAACATAATCGAAATGGACCGTTTTAAAACCTTATTTTTTTGTTAATTTTTTCCTTTATTTTTTTTAGGATAATATTTTTGCATGCTTTTAAAATAGCAAACTTTTACAAAGTACAGTTTTGAAATGTTAAAATCTTATTTTATTCCCATCCCTATTTGCGAGAAGAGATTAATTCGAGGAGGAATTAATCTATCTCTCTTTCAATGTTTTTGTTTAGTAGATAAATGAACATACTAAACTCATAACTAGTATAAAACGTACTAATATTTATGTGTTAGCTATAGCTGGAAAAGCCATGTTTTTTTTCCTATTCAAAATTCGTGTTTTTTTCGTGTGTTTTTAAAATTCAATGGGCAACGCAAATAAAATAAAATATCAAACCTAACTACTAAAGTGGATCGCCCCCCCCCCCCCGAGAAATTAAAAAAGACGAAAAATACTTAAAACGACTTGATTTTTTTAAAAGTAAACTTAGATTCCAAGATTTTACTCTCAAATAATTGTGCGACTCATTAAAAATTGAAACTTTTACAAAACAAACTGTGCAACAAGGGCATTAAAAATTAATAAAAAAACGCATTTAACATGCAGTTTGTAAGAATTCTGTCAAATATAAAAGGAGTGCAGAAAAATAAGCTGGAAATATATATTTTTCAAAAAAACACTCAAGAACATTGAATTACATTATTCATTTTCTATTGTAAATATAAAAGAAAGAAGAACAATTTTTTTGTGTGAAAATTAACGAACTAAATTTAATATCACAGAGATCCGAGCCCGCGATTTAAAAACTTCAGCTCGAGCCGTAATTCCTTAAACCCGACTTTAAGACACAATCTTCGACCCAACTCTGACGACAGCTTGTTTCACATGATTGACAGCTGCAAGATCTTCGGCTCGACTTAAGGAGTTCGGCTTAATGAAAATAAAACCGACCTTAGTAGGGTTTAGTGGAGAATAAGGCTCAATGTTGCGTCTTGTTCTCATAAAAACTGGGAATGCGTCAATTCCTACCATGAAAATCCGCCAAATAGAATATTAAACCGGTTTTTAAACTCAACCCTGTGGAAAATAAGATGCAGCTTGAATCCGAAAGCTCAAGCCGCAAATAAGGCCCAACGAATGCTTAGACCCGAGCCGTATTTTCTGAATTTTTTAAATCACGGGCTGGACAGATTTAAAAATGATGAATCTGCTTTCAAGTTTCGCTAATTAAAGTTGCTAATTAAAGGGACTGAAAAAGAAAAATGAGAGGGGGTATAGGTTGCTAATTAAAGGGACTGTAAAGGAAGAATGAAAGGGGGTATAGGTTGCTAATTAAAGGGACTGTAAAGGAAGAATGAAAGGGGATATATCCTGAAATCTGAGAATCTCAGGACTTGAACGATACCAATAAAACATCTATCTGATGTTCCTGTCTCGAGAAATTAATATAAAACTGTGTCAAAATTATACCAAAACGGGCATATGCCAGATTTTGTATAAAAGTTGTAGTATTAAACAGATCATATTCAACAAATACGCAAACAATCTGAAAACGACGATATCTCAGGTTTGTTCCTATTATAATATTATAATTTTTATTTTGCATTTTTAATAGATATAATTGATATTATAATTACATATGGACCTATTACGTCACCAATGGCTGAAGTTCTTGTGACGTAATACGGGACTATACAGACTATATGTAATTATATTATTAATTATATCTATTAAAAATGCAACAAAAAATTGTAATAGGAGAAATTAAAGAAAAATGGCTTGCATGCATTTCGAAATCAACAACATCCTTTAATTGGCAGCAAAAGTTGGATGGCTACCAAACAAGCGACAAAAAATCGCTCATATTCAACAAAAAATCGCAGTCATCCAGTATTTTCTGACAATTAAGCGTTTTTTTCTTTTATTTGGAATTCATCCTTCTTTTGCTGCAAATAAGCGATTTTCTTACTATCGTAATTTCGAGCCTTTTTACCTGATTTTTTTCTCCTGCTGCTGAATAGGAGCACCGTGGTTCCCGGTATAAGCCTTAGTAATAACGTTGTAAACAACGTGACAAATTTATTTTAAAAGTTTTGCTAAATAAAATTATTAATTTGATTAATAGATCAAAAAATGTTGTTTTATATACGTTGATACAAAAATCAAACTAAAATGTTAATTTTCTAAAAATTTTAATTAAGAAGTTTAAAACTTTCCTTCGCATTTGAATAAGCCCGCACTGTCACAAATTCTGAAACAAAAAGAAATGATGTTGCGTGGAATTTTTTTAGAAAATTACCGATTCCGAAAAGAACCGTTCAGTTTAAACACAGTAACTGAACGGGAAAAAATACCAACTTAAAAGAATTGACAAACAATTATTTTTAAAAAAACTTTAAAATATTCAAAGTTTAAATTCTGAAAAACAATATTTTCCTGCTTTAGTTTTATTTAAAATAATAATAAAAATTTCGTGAATTCTTTTTTTGTGGAAAACTAATATATTATGGGAAAAAAATATTTTACTGAAAATAACTTCTCCATCACAGTGATTCAAGGGTTAATAACTATCACGTAGAAATTGATGAGTTTTTTTACAAAAAAATCATGTTTTAGCCACAAACTTAGATTATTTAATCCTTATTTCTTTGTAACCCGATGTCATACACCTTTGATATTTAAAACTATAAATTCTATTAGATAAAATAAAATAAGTTTGAAATATCAAAGGTCAACATCAGGTTGCAAAGATAAAGTGAATAGACATTTTTTAATTTGTGGCAAAAACTCAATTCCTAAGTTATTTTTTTATTTTCATATTTTTACAAATTACAATTTGTAAGCGACTCGTAAATGTTAACTGTGTTGTCTGTGTTATCTGCATACCCCCCCCCCACAGAAAGGGTAATATGTAATTCTGAAGATAGTTGATAAAGCAATTTGTATTTCTATATTCTGAATTTGATTAGCACGCTCCTCCACACGATTATGTAAGCTCATCATGAAGCTGACTTTGCCAATTTTTCTACAGGATTATACCCCCCCGGATTCAAATTAGTAGAATCTGCTGCATTATTCATATATCCTGCAGTAATCTAAAAAAAAGGTTCAAAAAGATCTCCATAGCCTAATACTGTATTCAGGTAGGTTCAAGCACTCCCTAGGACAAGTACTACCATGCCAAATTGCTGATCCCTCTCAGAAAGTTTTGATTAAGATTCCATAGTACAGGGGTTTCTGAGTTCCACTATATCTGCTCGTGAAGTAGGATAAGGTTGGAGGTTTAGGAAGTAGATCTAGAGATCTTCTTGCAGAAAATCCCTGTTTTTTTTCCTCTGGTTTTATACATCTTTCCTATGTGTATGCAGAATTAGGATACATTATCCCATTATCACACTAGATCTGCATCGTAAATACAGCTGGGGAATTGTCCCTTTATCATTAGCATATGTGATCAGAGATTTTCCATGAGGGCTACATTTGCTGAGTAGGTTAGGTACAAAGTCGGATGTGTGTATAATGTACTGCTAGAATGCTTTAGGACTCTTTTTAAATATTCTTCCTCTTTTTGATTATTACTCTTTCCTGTTTATGTATTCCAGCATTTCAGGATACAGCTTTCTCAGCACCTAGGCTTGAATAAGACAGCTTGGGAGAGAGAAGTCTTACAAAGACTATAATCTAGGATGAACTGAGAAAATGATGAGTAATTTGCCAATTTCTTCAAAAAGATCAAAACAACTTTTTATGTAAGTGTCTATGGCTAGAAAAAGACTATAAGTAAATTAGCGATAGTTAAAATCAAAGGCTAAGAGTTGTGTTACTTTAAAATCGACCCAGTCTTTAAAAATGATGCAAATGTGTATAGCAGTCTGGATCTATATGTATAGCAGTCTGGATCTATGTGTATAGCAGTCTGGATCTATGTGTACAGCAGTTTGGATCTATGTGTATAGCAGTCTGGATCTAGAGGGATCAAGCATTTATCCTTAAATTTAAAAGTGCCCACAGCCAACATTAGATATCGAGATCAAGCATTCAAAATTAACATTACCTCACAAAAGAGTTCCGACTTCTGATAGTTTTAGTTTTAATTATAAAATAAATATTAGACCTGTTAATCTGCTGAGCAGATCTTTGGAACATTTCTCCATGGAACCCGTTCCCCTTCAGTTCCAGGCGGAAACTTTCACAAATTTTCTGGAACATTTCCCGCGCTTTCATGGAACCCTTCCATTCCTTGAGCTGGAGTTCAGCACGGGATAAGTATCCCCTAAATTAGAGATTAGACAGTGGGATACATAAAACTGTGGATATGGAAGACGACTGTAAATCTCCAGTTATAATTTCAAATAGACCAATGAACAAAAACAAAGCAATTGTACAGTGTGTACACGGACTTATTTCACATAATTAGTTGATTTTCAACCTACTGGTAACACTTGCTGCAAAACGGCATAAATAATACAAATGTCGTCTTCATATTCCACATTTTACTGGGTCCCACTGTACCATATATACATATATTACTCGAAATAGTGACACTGCGTGATCCATTGGTCTTCTGATAACTAAATATTTTATATAAATTATAAATTATAATTTCACGGCTTTTAAAAAATAGTTTAAGTGGATTTCTTAAAAAATTTTAATCCAAAGTGTAAGGTTAGCAAACAGTATCAAAAACTATAAATATTAACCCTATCCCTGCTGGGGTACTTGAAAACCAGGATACGCTGGGGGGGTCAATTTGACCCCCCCCTCTAAATCCCATGTTTTATGTCCAAATATGACAAATGATACATCATTAGAAAGCTCTTGTGCTCTACTTTTAGAATCTGCAAAAAAAAATTGCAAATTTGCGAAAATTGAATTTTTTATCGCAAAATCCAGTTTTATAGTAAAAATGTTTGCAAAAAAAATTTGTCCAAAAAATGACAAATTATACATTTTTGAAAAGCCCTTGACCATGCCATTTCAAATATGCAAAAAGTTTTGCAAAATTTTAATTAACCTGATTTTTAATCAAGAAAAACTAAAAATGTGCAAATTTCCTTTGACAGGTTGTTTGCAAAAAATTTGCAATTTTTTCTCGCAAAACTTGTGCAATCCGTTTCCTTATGTCATAGGCTTTCCAAAAAGCTAAATTTTATCAAAATCTGACAAGTGAAAGTGGGTCAAAACAAAGATTTAGTTTGTTACAGGCAAAAGCAGTCATTCAGGCAGTGTGCCTGAGGACTCAGGCAGTTAGTAATAAAGCCCGGTTTTAGGCCTAAAGGGAGGGCTTTGGGTATGTAAGAAAAGTCAGAAAATTTCAACAGCCTCAGACCAATACTTTTTGAGTTATGTAAAAAAAACTACAGGGGGGGGGGTCAAATTGACCCCCCCCCCCAGCGGGAATAGGGTTAAACAGGCTTTTCTCTAAAGTAAGTGTTTCTAAATTTTTCTTTAGACATAGTTTATTGAATTGAACAGATCTCGGAAATGATTCAATTTCGATAACAAATCAAATTTTAAAGATGAATTCAATATTGTTCGTTGTAAGAAAGATTATTTTCAGGAAACTTGAAGAAAAAATCTTTTTAAAAACTTATCTTACAAAGAAATCTACAAAATTTAATCATATTTTAATTTTATTTTCTTATAAAACTGTACTTAAGTATATGAGTTTTCGATGGGAGAACGCGGCCGTTATAAATTTTCAATTTTTTGCATTTCGATCCTACAACTTAATGTGTTTCCCCCCTGAGATAGTCGCAGAGTAATCAGAAAGGTTATAATTAAAGTTTCAATATTTTCAAAAGTTAAATTTATTCATACGCCATTTATATCACTTACATCTATGGGCGGCATTTCCTCAGATTTGAAACAATTTTGGGTAAATTTCAACTTTCAAAAAATATCCTTCTTGCTGCATGTTTTTATATGAATACCGTGTGACCCAAAGTTGTATTATACAACCTTGGTGTGACCCCATTCAATACCTAGATACACCCATAAAGGATGAGGCTTCAAAGACGACTTTACAGATTAGATTCAGCCATTTTCTTACATTCGTGATTCTCGATTTTTAATTTCTTTGCCAAATCATTTATAGAACTTATAAAAGATGAAGAAACGTAAGAAATTAAGGTCGCCATTAAAGAGAAATTAAGGTCGTCATTAAAGAGAAATTAAGGTCGTCGTTAAAGTGTCTTCTTCGTGGGTAACTCTGTTTTGCCCATCTATTATATCCGGTAGTATGCTTTATTAGATAGGGAACCCAGCTTTGTCTAGAAACTAAAATTGCTCTAAAATATTTAACCCACTTAACTTAAACGTTTTAAACCAAGCTAAGAACATTCCCCTGGTTCTAATAAGTTCCTCAGTCAAAATTTTAGAGGTTCCAAAGTTCTAATCGCAACAGACAAACAGAGATTACTACTTTATATATTTACTAGGCTTATAAACAAGGAATGCGGAAGCCACTTTTGCAGAGAAACTGCGCATGAAAAAAAACAGTTTAGAGAAAAAAAAACATGGATACATAATTCGTACTAGATCAAACAAAGCTTTTAAGGATATGGATGTAAATTAGGCGCTTTTAACTTTTAATTGAACTGACACTTGGCAGCCGTAGTACATATGAATTTCTGAGCCTGGTCAACCTTTCCAGTTCAAGTTTGTACTGCACCTAGCTCTATGGACAGGAATAGCCGGTGCAACAAGGTTGACACGGTCAGACTTTATGCTTCATATAGAATGAATTTTCTTTTACTAAAGGGGGAGAGGTGCGTGATTGTGGTTTTATATGTGAGCCTCTTCTCTTTGTATGATATAAAACAAAAACAAAAAAAGTTTGCTGATTTCATAATATTTTTTCGCGCATTTTCAAAATTTTACAAAAATGAAAAACTTTTGCACAGAATTTTTTGTAATTTGGAGCATGCATAACCATTCCCAGGGGTCATGTGAGGTCCCACACAAAATTTGGGCCCGATCTGTTGAGCCGTTTTGACGATTTTGGATACAAACGAACAGACAGACACTCAAACAGACAAGCAAAGTATCTATATTATAAGCTTTTAGGACACTTCGCGCTATCTTTCCTTTTTATTGTGAGCATGTTCATTTTGTGTACATTGTAAAACAAAAACAAACAAAAAATTCGCGGATTTAAAAAAAAAAAATCGTGGATTTTCGAATTTTCAAAAATAGAATTGTGATGAAGGCAAATTTTTGAAAATTCGATCATCCATAACCTTCCATGGGGTCACGCGAGGTTCCACAATAAATTTGGGCCCGATCGGTTCAGCCGTTTTGACGTTTATTGGATACAAACGGACAACCAGACAAGCAAAATATATATATATATATATAGAATAAATGGATATAACTAGATATTTACCTTATTCTTGCCTGACAGTTTCTGTACATAAACTCCTCCTAAATAAACAAGATTTATAAATTCAATAACAAATAACCTTGATCATTAAAAAAAAACGTAAATTCAAGTGAATAAGATATCTTTTTTCTCTGGCTAAAAATATATATTTTTCATGGATGGAAATTGTCAAAATTTAATACTCATAATAATAAAAAACGATTTAATTTCATTTAACTCTTTAAATGAAATTGAAATCGCGTCGCCAATCCTTGATTTTTTTTCTAAACAATTCTGTTAGAATATAAAATGTTAACTGTTCAAATACCTTCTTCAAAAAATTATTTATATCTGAAGGATCACTGGAGAGCTTTGTTAAAACAGCTCTAAAATGTCAAAGCTAAGTTAACAACTCTTAAAATAAATTTTACTGAAGAAAAATACACGATTTATTTGAAAAAAATGCACTGCTGATATGAAGAGTTGATAAAATCTTTCATCCTTTTGATCTTTGATCTATGAATTTCAATCTTTTTCAATTTATTCTAAACCTCGGATATCAAATGAAACATAAAACGCTAAAAATAAAAACAAAATAAAAAACTTGTTTTCCTTTGTTTTAGCTCGGGTATTGAGGTCTCCGAACCAATCAGGATCCTCGTCACGTGTACTGCAACAAAACAATAACAGCCAAAATAACGAGGGAGGGAAGGCAAGTCTCATCATCTTACCATCCGAGCCGAAGGGGTTTTTAGGCCCCAAAAGATGCTGAGCCCTCCCGTTAAATAATAATAATAATAATAATAATAATAATAATAATAATAAAAATCACTTAAAACATCTTATATTAATCTCGACAATTTTCCAAATGAATGGACAAAAATACTTTTTTTTAATTAAAACCTTTTTCCTTCAGTAAAATATTTTATTGTGCGGAAATGTTCATAAAGAAATAAGATATTCTTCACCAAATGGTGGTAATATTATTTTTCTACACAGTCTGCGCCAGAATAACAGGAAGACGACCCGTCAAAAAAAGAGGAAGACGACTTGTCGATAATTAAACGGTGTAATAATTCTTAAAGTTCCATCCCTGATTTCTGTGTACTTTGTCTCAAAATCTTCTCGCATAAACTCGAGAACTTCCTGAAAATGTTTAAACTGTACAAAGAACATCCAGAGCCCAAAACTTAAGACTGAGTATCGTAATGAAACCCAGTTTCGTAATTGAGGTCAGACAAATTTGTAGAAACCAATATTTTTGTTAATAAATACTATTTAATGTAATTTCTTTACATTTTCTGATTTCTTAAACTAAAATCTACGCAAATGTATACACCCCAAAAAAGAAACACAAGAGTTTCGCTCAGGTGTCCGAACAATACAGTTTGGGAAGTCCAAAAGGCAAAATTAACGTTAGACTGTTTTCATTCATTAAACAATTATCATTTAAAAAAACTAGATAAAATTGTTTATTTGCCTAAAAAAGGTTGTGGTTTCAAAAAAAATTGTCATCCGTTGCTTTAACAATTACTGTAATTTTGAAAATTGGTTTCACTTACGAAAACCTCGTTTTCTGTTGGACATCATTAACATCATTAACATCATTAACATAATTAACATCATTAACATCATTAACATCATTAACATCATTAACATCATTAACATCATTAACATCATTAACAT